TTCTCTTTTGGCCAAAACAGATATTCTATCCATCATCTTCGACATCTGCTCTCTTATTTCTCGTATCTCCTCTTTCTCCTTAATGGACACATGATCTCTAGGTGCATAGCTCTCTTCTATCCTCGGAGTTCCCTCGGGATGTCTTTTCTTGGTCACATCATATTTTGTTTGATCATAAAACTTTTTGTCCATTTACGATTTCTTTCCAATATGATGAACAGTCTTTCAAGTAAATACCTTTTGGTTATGCCATGATCATGCAATGTAAACAAAAGAAATCAATATGAACAGATTAGAGCAAAGTAACATGCATGAAAAAATAAAAAAAAATAGAATAGTTAGTACCAACTAATGGAAAAAATCTATCTATCAAGGTATAAATCTTAACCTCATGCTTTCTAGTTCCATGCTTTGTTTGGAAAATTTATCCTAACCGCATGATTTCTAGTTCGCATGCATTTATTCAGGAAAAAGAAAAGGAAATAAAATAAATTAAAAGCTAGAGCTTATTTCTCCTTTGTGTATACCTACAGACAGAGGTTTAGTACTGTCTTAAATCAGGAGAATTTCTAGGGTTTATTATATGCAGAGTTTCAGTTCTAGGAGTAAAGGTACTCGAATTGTCCTTGTTGATGCCCCCTTGGGCTGTCAAACCCTCAATCCTAGTCCATTACAGACTTAAGCAGACCGAGTTCAATTCGAGGGGACACATTTCTCTATGCCTAACACGAAGAATAAATTCTCACGAAGACATAAAGCATATGAACCCCGAAAGTTACTTGCTAGGTTTGACACAGAGAATAAATTCTCACGAAGACGTCACTTTCACTCCCACTTAAAAGGGACAAGCTTGATTAGAAAGCTTATGTTATGCAATGCAAGTGTTGTGTGTGAGGAGAAATATTCAAACCTCTGACAAACAAATAAATAATGAAAATAAAATAAAAATATTATAAAAATATACATATAAATATTATAAAAATAATAAGTATATATAAAAATTTGAAAAGAAAGAATTATAAATTAAATATATGATTTTTTAATTTATAATTAATAGAGACAATTTATAATTAATTTTAAAGTTTGACGTCCCCAGCGGAGTCGCCAAGCTGTCGTAACCGGTTTTCGCCCGGGCACGAATATTTTTTACCTTGGCGGAAAAAGTGATGTGAATAAATGGTTTTTAAAATAATTTGGGAGTCGCCATCGATCTTTTAGGTCAGGTAGGTCGAATACCTAAAAATTATCATTTAAAAGAGTTTTTAAGAAAACATCGATTAAAAGATAAACTGATCTGCGTTTTAACTAAAAATTCGTTCTTTTTAATAATAAAAATGGATTCGTGGTCGGTTACATTTAGGGAAGGATTAGCACCCCTACAACGCCCAAAATTGGTACTTTATTAATTATAAATTGTCTCTTATTATTGGAAATTTAAAAATTCAAAGATATATTTAATTCATAATTCTATTATTTCAAATAATTTTAAGAAAAATATATTAATATACATAAATAAAATATTTATTTATTTAGAAATATCAGAAAAGGGCTTCTAGGTACCTAAGACAGCTCTTTTCTTTGATATTAATAAATAAAAATAAATATTAAAATTTAAATAATTTAAATAAAACTAAATTATAATTTTTATAATATTTAATTATTTAAAATACCAGAATAGGACATCCAGTTGTATTAAGACTGCCATTTTCTTTGATATTGAAAATAAATAAACATTATTATTTAATATATATATATATATATATATATATTTATGTGACTAATATGAAAATAATAATAATATAAAAGTAATAAAAAATTAATATTATAAATAAATAATATTTAAAATAAATTTAAAAGTAATAATATTAAATTGAAAAATATATAAAAACAATCAGGATCAAAATGAAAAGAAACAAAAAATTGGTGACTAAATAAAATAAAATATCAAAATTAAAGGGCATAATTCGAATTAACAAAAAAATTAATGCTAATAATGTAATTTAACCTTATTTAATTAATTCATGTTAAAAAATAAATTATAAAAATTATGAAGGACTAAATAAGGCATTTAACCTAAATATATGTATAATACAGGTAAGGACTAAATTATAAACTAAATAAAATCGAAAGACCGAATTAAAAGGTTCAATATTTGATATCAGTGAAAAAAAAATGAAAAGTTACAAAATTGTGGTGGCAGCGGGTATAGTTTACCCTTGTGAGAAATTATAGATATACCCCTTCCCCAAAACGGCGTCGTTTGGGGAAGGGCTTAAAAATCCAAAAAGACCGGCCCTTAAGGGCCAGCTTCTCATTTTCATCTTTCCTCTTCTCTCTCTATATGAGAGAGAAGAGAAACTCTCTCGCCTCTCTCTTCAATCCTCCAAACGGAGGTTGGCCGACCACCGGCTGATAGCCATACTCCGGCACCGACACCACCGCCGGCCACCACCCACGGTGGCCGAATATGCAAAAACACCCTAATCTTAAAGATCTACTTGCCACGAACCCGAATCTAGCCTCATTTTATCCTAAAAACCCTTAGATTTTCTTAAATCTAAGAAAATACCTTCGGTATTTTCGGTTCTCCGGCAAGATGAGAAGGCTCCAATGATCGCGTGTCTCTATTGGTAAGCTTCTCTCCTTTTTCTTTCCTTCTGGTTTATGGATTTTGATGGTTATTATTTTCCTCTGACTTCTTGGTTGATGTTCGTATCTCTCTTTTTTCTTGCTCTCTGTGGCTGTGTGTGGTTACTGGTTTGCTTGCCCTCTCTTCGTTTCTGTCTCTCCTCTTTGTTTTGCAGGATCCGGTGGCTTTTATAGCCACCACCGAGCCATGCTCGGACCGGTCTAGAGGGGGAAGTTCGGTGAGTCACCGAGCTATGTGGTGACTCACCCCATAGCCGCGACTTGTGGGGGGCAGCTGGCCTTCTGGAAGCTTCTGGTGAGGCGGCGGCTTCGTGGCTGTAGCGGGTTTGAGCATCTGGTAGTAGACGTGGGGCGGCTGGAATTCACTGGAACTTTGGAGCGGCGGCTGGGACGTGGCCACGTAAAAACTAGGGTTTAGAAACCCTAGTTGCATCATGTTGGACATCCTGTGGACTGTTGGATCTCTCAGATCCAACGGCTGTGATGATGAGGCGGCTAGAGATGATACAAATCCTAAATTGGGTTTAGGGTTTAGCTGGGCCAGTTGGCTGATCGGGCCTCTTTGTTTGGGTTTGTAAATTGGGTATGTGGGTCTTGGGCTTGTAATAATATATTTAATAATAATAATAATAATATTTATAATAATAATAATAATTTTAATAATAATAACAACAATAGAAAAAAAAATTAGTGTTTACACGTATTTACCTCGAATGTAGGATGTTTCAACAGCTCCAAGTGACCCAATTGATAGAACAGCTTGGACTTTTTCGAAACCGGCTACCATAGAACTAAACCAGTAAGAATACATTATTTCTAGAAAAAGAAAAATTAATCCTCCTTTTGTTTTGACAAGATCATCATTCATCTGCCTTGTACCATGTTTAAAAGTTTAATGTTTCCTACAGCAAATGGGTACTGAAAGTGACCCCGAGTTCAAAGGATACCACACTGGGAATTCAGAACCTTTAGGCTTTGGTATGAATAGATTTTGCCTCTTTTATAATGTTCATTTCTTCTTGTGTCTTATGATTTGTGCTTCAAATAAGAATAGTTTAAAATATGATCATTTCTTGCCAGCTTTTCTAAACAACTATGCTGTAATTGATCAAACAGATGCTGCTTCCATTTTCAAGTCGATAGAAGACCCATTTTTTTCACTTTTTCTGTTCTAAATATGTGAACTCTGTATTTGAGGAATTTTCGGGATATTCTAGGCACTAATCTGTCCTTTTATCCCTTTCAGGGCATCTTGGCATTACTGTGGATGATACATTCAAGGCATGTGAGAGGTTTGCAAGGCTTGGAGTAGAGTTTGCCAAAACACCAGAGGATGGTAAGACATCACTGTGGATGATACTAATAATGAAAGTTATGTCTGAAATATTTGCTTTTTTTTAAATGCTTTCTCGTGCCTTGATTTACCAATCTGATTTGCAGGGTATGCATTCATCAAGGATCCCGATGGTTACTGGATCGAAATCTTTGATTTGGTTAATATCAGAAACGTAGTTAAGGGTGTTGCCTGAGTTAGTGCTTCACAAAGTTCAGGTAGCTTTTAGAGTATTTATCAGAGACTTCTCTTGAGACATATCGTTGTTCATCGGAAATGTATCTGATACATATTGATGTTGATACAGGAAACAAGGATGGCATATGTTACGGGTTTCAGTCATTGTCTCTGTTTCGGTTCGACAATGTTTATTCCTATACATCATCTGCTTTCTGGAACTTATCGAGGGAAGAACTCGGTGAAATCGTAATTGAAGCGCAGTTCATTCAAGTATATGTTTTCTGCATGTCTGATATGTATACCAGACGGGACAAAGTAACAATAAAGAGTTTTGTAGGAGAAACTGAACCTTGAAATTCAATAAATTCAGCTTAAATTTCCTAAAATTGCATGTCTATGTACCATGTATGTGCTTGCCAAGTCTAGAATGAAATGGAAAAATAGAACGATGAAAGTACTAAAACTCTAAACCATTTAACAAATATTATCTCTTTTCTTTATTAACAAGAAGTTTGGAATAGGGTAAGAAAAAGTCCTTTCTTTATCATTGATCAAACTCAAAACTCACACTTTTTCAAACTCACAACTTTGAAATACCTTAACTGCAATAACAGCTGTATGATCAATTTAGACCTACTAATAATATTATAAAAATGTGAAGACTAAATTATACCAAATAAGAGGAATTAAATCTCACATTTCAGCATAATAGAGGGACCAAAATCAAAATTAGACCGGGGAATTTGCATTGAACTACTTTAATTTCTGCTTCTTGCTTGCCTAGCAAAGTTGATGTTTGTCAGTCACTGTAATCTCAGATCTGAGAAAGTTTGGCCAATCACTGTAAACTCATTTCTTTGTTTAATGGTATGCCACACTGTTGAGAACAACGAAACAAACTGTAAAAATGCATAAAATTTAATGCCACATATTGATATATATATATATATATATAAACTTGTTAGGTCACTATTTAGGAGCAATTCTCTCAGCTGTTTCAGATGAGGCTATTTCCCCATGCATCCATTTCTGCAACATCTGTAATGAAGCTTTTGGTTGATCCATTGGAACCATGTGACCTGCCTCATGGACCTGCAATTTGTCATCATCATTGGGACAATTAAGTACCATTAGAGAAAGCACGTGGATGAAGGGTCATTGCAGATTATAAAGATTGATGTTTTCAGAGTTCAGACCTTGAGGAAAGTGAGAGGACCATGGCTCTTCAGTTTCCCTGCTTCGACACCATCGACGACGAACTGGACAGTTGGCGATGCACCAAAATCTTTCTGCCCGGACCATGTCATTGCATGAACCCACTTCGAATTCCCTAACAGTCCGAAAACACAAGTTTAGAAAGAGTAAGATACTAAGATTTGCATCAAAAAGGAAGAGTGTCTCACCAAGCCAGTTGCATATAAGATCATACTCCCCAGCATATACAAGGACCTTGATGCCATCTTCAAGAAGAGAAGGAATGCCGACTTCGAAATTTCTCATCCAGTCCATAATCATAGCTTCGTATACCAAGCTGCTGCAAGACACGAAACCGATGTCTCCGACCCCGAGTGCTTCCTTAACTGATTTCAGGTTCAGAAACGTCTCGACGTCTGAGAAATCGTAGCACAAATCACCATCGCACTGCTTTCTAATGTCGTAGTACTGAACATATACCAATAAAAAATTGAAAATTGTAAGAATCTTAAACCATTTCTGCAATATATATAATAACAAAGGATAAAAGTTTATGCTATCTTACATTTACATTACCAGCAACCCTCATGATCTGATTGAATACATTGGTGCAGATTTCATAAGAATCAACACAAGCATCTCCACCATCAGAACCTGTAATGGTACTTGAAAATGAGTATCAATTTGCAAAGGAAAACATATAGAGATGTTGACATTAATCTTTTAGAGCTACGAGGAAATACCACAGCTTTTAATTGCCTCCATGCATGATGGAACCGACTTCTTGATATTAACATAATCAGATTGTGAAATTAAACTGGAGTTCAAAGCATAATCTGGGTATGCTTGGTATTGAATTTCAGGGTTTGTTAACCCGTTACCAATGGCGAAACCCTGTTTCAACAATTCAAATTTAAACTAAATGAAAAAAAGTCCATATTCAAATGGGGCTTATATGAAGTCTCAAGTAATATGCACCTTAAGGTTAACATGAATTCCCTCTTTAGCTTCGTTTCCCTTGTGAACTCGAACTGCGAAAGCCGGAATGTAATGCCCGGCATACGATTCTCCAGTTATGTAAAAGTCATTCTTAACATACTGAGGATGCTCCTTGAAAAAGGCCTGCAAGAAGTCGTACAAATCGTTGCTGACACCGTTTTCATCGTGACGAATGTCAGTATCATCTGAAGTATAACTGAAACCGGTTCCAATCGGCTGATCTACGAACAGAATGTTCGATACCTACCAAGGGACAATAAAAATGTGATTTGACAAAAGGGGAGAGATATACATATACATCATGAGAGTATCAAAGAAAATCATGGGATTATATTAGACACCTTGTCCCAGCCATAGTCATTCCATAAAAGTGACAAGTTCTTAGCTAGATGGAAAGGACCATTTTCATAAAACAACGCCAATTCACTGCTGCATCCTGGACCTCCAGTCAACCAAATCACTACAGGGTCCTTCTCGCTGTTCCGAGATTCGAAGAAAAAGTAAAACATTCTGCGAATTTTCGTGAACGAGATCAGTAATCCGAAATCAGTTTTATGCAAAGATTTAATACCCTTATTGTATGCACTGATATTCCATTAGTTTCTGGATTGTGCTTCCATCATGTTCAAACTTGCAACTTTGGAAGCAACATATAAGAACCATGACATACATACATGTATACATATACATATATATATATATATAGGATTACCTAGCAGATTTAGAATGTGGAAGTTTATAGTATCCAGCATGGTGAGCAAGGTTTTCAAGAGAAGGGGAAGGAGCACCAAGCAAAGGGAATCTAAATTGCCTTACAACAATCTTTGAATTCTCAACCGTAAGGTCATTGATACCTTCATTAGCATCATCTATTGGGAACAAATTAAGTCCTCTTATAAGCTTTTCTGCTTGTAGTTTTGCGGGGCTGGAAGGAGTGGTTTGCCGTGGGGAAATAGCCTTGGCCGAGATTGGTGAAACCAGCAAAAACAGAGAAAGAAAAAGGAGTTTTTGAAAGGAAGTTGAGGCCATGTTTTGTGGGAGATTGCTGCAAATTTTGTTTATTTGTTTGGTTTATATAGAGTCCAACGGAACCCCACTTGGGGACAAGGTCCATTGATTTTGCATGCTTAAAGTCTAATTTAACATTGATTTTGCATGTTTTAAAAAGCTTGAAACAAACGATCTTAGTAGTTTAAGGGATGACTGGTATCTTTAGAGATTCTGGAATCGAGTACGATATTTGTAGAGATGTTTGAGCGTTAATTATTAAATGATTAAGAATATTTCAAACATATATTATATTGTAATCATTTAAATTAATAAAAAAATGTCTTTAAAAAAGTATAATGAAAAATGTTTTCTTTTAAAAAGTAGTGTAAAAAAGATAATTGTTTTAGGGAAATGTAATAGTTTTTACTTTAAGAATATTGCATTAAATGTGAAGAAAAATGATTAACAAGCAAAGGTAATTATATATATCTACCCAATAGCCCCCCTCGGCCCTCCCCAATTAACCCCACCATTTCTCCAATAACTAAAATTGAAAAAGATGAATTTTATTTATTTTTTAAAGTAATGTAATTTATCTATATTTAAAATTAAACACAAATATTACTTTATAATCATATTAAAATGTTAAAAACATTATAAAGATTCATTCATTGAATTTAACAAGGGTGTAAAAAGTTATTTTATTTTCCTTGTACTTGTTAAATTCTTTATCTTGTTTAAAACTCCTCATTATATAACAGCCTTTTCCCCCATTTTCTTTTTCTTTTTTTTCATCCAATGATGGAAATTGGGCTTTCAAGACAAGCTTATAACAACAATGTTGCTTGCAAGATATCAGAAACATAATAATAAAGAAAAAAAGAGCCAACATGCCCTAAACATGGGTCAAACATTTCACTTCACTCAATGTTTGAATGGAACAATGAAGTGAAAAGAACATGCCTATAGGTGATTTCATAATCACACTTGACCCATCTTATTATTATTAATTATATCCCAACAATCCTTAAAAGGAAACTAGCAGGATAATGAATGACAACTTCAAAAAACGTCAATAAAAACATGGCTCAATAATGGTGAAATCTCATACATATATATAAAGTTAAATTACAATATCCATCGTATTTACGTTTTATTTTTTATTTTTTACAATTTAGTTTTCGGAAACTACATTAATGACGCGACATATTAACAAAGATTTAATTATAATTTGGTATAAGAGTCATTGAGTGGCTTTAGTGGTAAAAGAAAATGTTGTTCCTCTTAGAGAATTCGTGTTCGAACACCTACATATGCATGGTTTGTATACGTTATCAATAACTGAGAAAATTTGAACAAATACTTAGTTAGCTTAAATTAATCGGACCTAATTCAACTTAATCCAAAATCAATCTAACGTACCCAATGAATGATGTTTGTCCTTATTAATAGACTTTGTTAGAATTGATGATGACCCTGTTTCAACAAGAAACAAGTTAGTATCACATGACATATTCCGTATAAGCTTTACTCAGCTGTTTCACCTGACATTTTCAAGCCATATTTGAATTATTAGTTTCTTGTTTCTTGCACACGATTTCCTGCACGTATCATTTAAGAATTAAAGATCAAAGCTTCATCATACTAACAGTTCCTCGAGGATTGCCAAATTCATTTGCCAGACACGGTTATTAGCTTTCGTCTGTCCCCCTATCATCATCAAACAAGTGCAAAAACCAGTTTCCAACATATATATATATATAGTTCTTAGACGGAATTAGACCATAAAATGCTTCCTGCAACTTAAATTTTCAAGATAAATAGAACCAATTCATAAAAGGGTTTCCCCAATATGGTTATTATTGATCAACGTATTTTGACACATCGATTCTCCTCGTATAATACAGATCTTGCACATAGGATAGCTAAATAACAACTGTAGCCATTACAAAGTAATAGCTTCAATGTGCTGATTAATAGAGATATCCTGTTTGTAATACATTACACAGAAGATTACTTTATCCAGGTCTTAAATTTGGGTTTGGACTGCAGCAAGTGCAATTGAACCCAGGGAAGCTCATTAATCAGCCTGATCACCATTTCTCGGCAAAGGCAAAAGATTTGACTTACGAGTTATGACCTAACTTTTGCAAGTCGAGCCCTTATTTCTTCTAGTTCTTCCTCGTCATCAACCCCTTCAGCTATAGCTTCTTCCTGTTAAACATTAAAAGGAAAAGGAAAACAATTTGGAATCTTCGGATTTAATGAGAAAAGATTAGCCAGAGGTACATTATAAAGTATTCGTGCCAAACATACCTCCTGTGCTGGTGCCTGAACTGGCTGCTTCATCTTCTCCTTCCTGACTGCTTCTGGAAGCTGTGCAGCTGTCTCACCAGCAATTGCTGTCAAGACCTTGTCAACTTCTTCTTCCGTCTCCTCTTCTATATCCTCGGAATCCAGTGCATTGTCAAGAGCATCATTGACAAACTCCTCAATAACACCTGCCTAAATATTAAGGTGAAGAATAACTATCTGTTGTCTCGTTCCAGATAGCCGACATACTCATCATCATGTTAAAGAGATGGTTCAAGCTATCAGAGAATCCCCAACATTTATGTCAAAATTAGCAATGGAAACCCCATGTAGTCAACAAAGCTAGAGAGGAGAACAATAGCTCAGACTGACTCCAATTACAGTAAAGGACAATATAAGGCAATATTTTCCTTGGTACTTAAATGATAAAAGAAATAAAGAAACCTTAGTCATCTCCTTGCTGAACTCTTGCATTGTGACAGCCACTTCTGGAGCCTTCATAAGGTTATTGACAAGCTTCATAACCTCAGCACTCTTCGACAAATGCCCAACTGTACGAGCGATTGCTGCAACATTTTCGGAATTACAAGAAGAAAAAAAATTATTGAGAATGAATTTAAGAAACAAGTAGTTCATCAAAAAATTAGAACAGAGTGAGAAGATTAAACATTTAAGATTGCATAAATTAAAAATGAAATATTGAAGAAAAAAAAGCTACACAGGCTGATCATACCATTCTCGTGATTAAAAGCGCATATAAGACGAACAGAAATGAAAACATAAATCAGTAAAACATCATACCTACACTTTCCCCAAGGTGCATTGATATTGAATTCAATTGTGCCTTGTTTTCATATAGACGATTGACTGTCCTTCTGGATCTCACAATCTCCATGGCAAGTGCCTGAAATAAAAAGAAAAAATGATTGATTTAGCTTTTCAGTCAACTGTAAGAACTAAACGCAAGACCCAAATTTGCTACTAAAGAGCATAATCAGTAACAGTTTTTGAAAATTCAACTTCTGATAAATTTATGCAGTAATTCATTGACTTAAATTAAGTATGATTTATGTATTAATGAACACAAGAAGCACAATTAATGAAGTAAAAGGATACGAGCAAAGAATTTCTTCTTGACTATTAGCAACTAAATTTAATTAAAAATAAAAGATAACAGCTTGATCAAAAAAACAAAATTTGAAATTAAGTACCTTAGCAGAACCCATGTCGTTTCTCTTGGCAGCATCTCTAATAGCTTTCTGAACATTTTTCTCTTCTCTTTGAATATCTGAAGCAATAAATCAATACACCTTTTAACAATTACCAAATATTAACCCTAAACCATTAATCCACAATTCCAACAAAATAATAGAAGAAAAAGGTAGGAACTTGCCTCTGATTTGGCGTTCGATGTTACGGCATTCCTGGCGGAGGCGACGCTGCCAATCCCTTAAGAGCTGTTGTGGATTGGGTTTGGCTTTATTATATTCATCACCTTCTCCATTTTTCCCTTCCAATTCAGATCGTGAGATCAAATTTCACACCCCAAAAGAGATTATGTAACTTTGGCAACTTTTACGGTAAATTTGATCCAACAGATTAAGTTTTTTTTATCCTCTTTGGTTATTGTTAGATTGGAAATTTCATGATCGGAAAAAATCGCTTACTGGTCAATTTTGTTCTTATGTAATTCCCAGATTTCTTATCATTTTTTTAAAAATAATATATTTATGTTGGAGAATTGATCAAGAAGGCCGAATTGCTAGCCCAAATAGAACTGAAATTTTGGTCCTCATTTTCACGCAAACTTTTGTCCAAAGCCTAACAAGGGATTGTAATTTATAAAAACAGTGAACATGCTATAAAAATTAAATTTATTGTTATGAAATAAAAAAATTACAATAGAAAAAAGAAAAGAAAAATATAACAATAAGAAAGAAAATTGTGTTATTTTTTAAAATTTAAAGTATATATTATTAATTTTTTTAAATATTATATTTATAATTATAAGGAGTAAATATCATATAGAACTTCAATCGTAACGGATATTAAAATCATAATAACAAAGTACATCAAAATATTATTCAACCATTTAATAGAAAAAAAATGATATAAATCCATTGAACGACCTTAATGATAAATAAGAATATTATTTTTCGTATAAGTATTGTATCTAAACGAGTACATCTGCACGGCGGAATAGTGCAAAATCTTTATGTATGAATATTTATATTTTCTTATTTTCACTTCCTCTTATCATTTTAATTTACAATAATTAAGTTTCATTTTTCTTTTCTATCAAATATAATTAAAATATATTTTTTACACTTTTCCTCTCAAACACGTCCAAAACATAATTAAAATTTTCATTTTAAAAAGAATCTTCCAACTCATATTAGACTTTAGTTGGAAATAATTATTAATTTTTAATAAACTAATGATATTGTAAAGATAAAAATCGTATTCATTAAAAATTATTAAGAAACCAAATTGTGCTAAATCTAAATTTAAAGATTAAATCTTAAATTTAAACGCAACGAAGTCTAGACTGTAACCCTATAGAAAGGATCATCCTTTCCCTTGTTTTGATTTTTTTTCCATTTAAACAAAGAAAAATGAAGTGAGATGGAGTATTCTTTACCTTCTCTTAAAAGTTTAAATTTTTATTTGAGCTCAATTTGAAGTGAATTTCTGTAAAAAGCTATTTTAAGATAAAAAATTTATCCTTCTTTTAATAAATCAGTTTATGAAATGGTTACAACTGTAAAAAAGGGGGAAACTGAATCTGCATAGCATTTAAAGCTGTAAATACTATATCCAAAATGGCAGCAGAAAACCCTGATTATATATGCACCAAATATTGAAATAGTCGATTAAAATAGCACACCAGAAACTTAAAAGGTGCAATACATGATACTGATCATGATTAACAATTCGAGTTTCGAAACCGAGTATATAACACAATTTGTTGTCCAAGATAAAACCCAGTTTCACGCATCAACCTTTATTATCAAGCATAGAAGCACTCACAGGAACTTCCTGTATGGCCTACCATTATCTTCATCCTGCATATGCTGTTGGAAAAATTACCAAATCATTACAAATGCATAAAGGAAACTAAAAATGAAGAAGAAAAAAGTACTTTGCATCTCTATTGCAAGATGTGCTCCAGAAAACACAAGACAAGAATCGAACATGATCTTGCAAAACAAAAATGGGAATTAACAACTGAAATTGTTAAATCAAATCCGCTTAATTAAAAGGAATTTCTAAGGGGGCTTGGTTTCACCTACCAATACCTTCCATGTAAAAAATCTCCTACCATAATAGATCAAACACTTACCATTTAACTCCACGTTCTTGTATTCCCCTATCACCAAAACACAATATTTTATGTTCTATGAACCACCTTGAGATTTTTTTTTTATCATCTTTCTCTATGCCTTGCTTGCTTGCTAAACTTTTAACGAATACCAAAGAATGGTTCACCACAGTTTCAAATGGTAACACTTTCATGGGAAGACTCCTATAGGCAATAATAGAATAAAAATGTTCTTATTTTCTGTCCTTCAAGTGTTAAATAGTAAATTTTTTTTTTGGTGTATTCTTGCTCTGCAACATATTTCAGTTATATGGTTGTTGATTTTTTCCAGGGCTGGTTAGACCTCTGTCGCAAGGGCTTGAGATAACATGTCATACACGGGTAAGGCACAATTACGATAACTTTTACAAATTACGTTAGGATAAAAGAGAAGTCCATGTAAATATAAATCCCCGTAAAAGTCAAATAGTGATCATAAATGATATGATAAAATTTTACAAATAATGGTCTAACACAAGTTTGAAGAAATATAGTGCCAGTAACAAAAGAACTTTCTTTTACACTAGTATAGTGCATTACCAATTTTGCTACTAATGCAATACATCTCAGCATAAGAAAATTTTAGTGCAGTAATTGCTGAAATCAAGCCAACCCAAGGATTTAATCCACAATCAGTCAGACAAAAAACCAAATGTTTAAAGCCCTTCTTCAAAATAAGAAACCCCAAGGAAAATCATTCAGAATCAAATAAACAGTAATCGATCAAAATGAAAATAGTTACAATCAAGCAACCAGTCTTGATAAGAATCATACAGCCCCAAATCAATTTTACAAATTATGTCTAGCACAAGTAAGAAGAAACATGGTGCCATAAGGAAGAAAAGTCTTTCTTTTACATCGTAGGGCACATTACCAGTTTAGCGCCGTAAATGAAATCAAGCTAGCCCAAGTATCTACTCCAGAAAATATCTCAGTCAGACAAATATTCAATTTTCAAAACCCTTTTTTTCAAACTAGGAAAACAATCAGAAGCCCAATAAACAGAAACCGACTAAAACGATAACAGTTGCAGTCAGGCAGTGAATCTCAACAAAAATCGTGCAGACCAAATTCAATTAATCAAATAAAAACCAAAAACCCCAAATCCAACCACTTTAAAAATGCAATGAAAAAAATATAAGATTTCAAGAAACAAATCAAAGGCTAAATCGATAAATCAAGGGGTAATCTATAAAATTAAAAGAGAGATGGAAAAAGAGAAGAATACAAATTCTCGAACAATGCCCTTGTAGACAAGGACGGGGATAGCGATGCCGAAAATGCCGACGAGAGCCAAGTTGCGGCGAGTCCAGCGGAAATTGTGCTCCAGATTCTCTCTCGCAGAGCTCCAATCTTCGATGAATCTGTTTTTGTTTGTCTCCATTCCTCCCCCCATCTTTTCTCTCTTGTTTCTCTCTCCTCTTTCCGCTGTGGGTATAATACTTTAGCTTCTCTTCTGAAGTGGACCTTGGATGATATTTATCTAAAAAAAACCAACTCTATTTTACAATTTTTATGTAAAAAAAAACTAATATTTTAATTTGATTATCAATACCTTCAAATTAATTTATTGTTAAATATTTTTACTGAGTTTATAATGATTTATTTATAAAATTAATACAATTATTTTTATTATATTTATAGTAAATTTTGATGAAAAATATTAAGGTAAACAATCTACTTGGACACCTATTTATTCTAATGTTTTTGTTTCGGCAATTCGATTATTTTTTTAAAGTACATGTTACGTTATGTTTCTATTTTAATCGTCTGTCATTATGTTTGATTTTTGACTTAACGAAAAGTCGAGGGGGCATGGTATAATAACAATTTGGGTAAAATATACAAATGATCTCCGACTATTGGATGTCACTTTGTTGAGTCCTCTAACTATTGAAAGTTATAAAATGAACCTCGACCTCCGACTATAAGGCACTATTTTTTTAGTCCTCCGACTATTAAAAGTTACAAAATAGTCATTAGATTATTTATATGTTTCAAAATCGTCATTTTTCGTTAAATAAATTGGAGATAGTCTATGTTGGATGTTAACATGCTCACTGGGATATGATAAAATCTAATCCCTAAATCATTTGAGTTATATTTTATAGATCGGGTCTTTTTTTATATTATGTCATCAAACCAGTGCTTGAAACATTATGATGTCTAGTTAGTGCTTGAAAGCAACGACGGTGCAGTAGACATAATTAAAATATGATTTTATCATATTTCTATCAGTAGATTAACGTTCACTTCAAATTACCGTTAATATTTTTAACAGAAAAAAAACAAATTTAGAACATATTAAGAGTCAAATGATCAAACTTATAATAGTTGGATGACTCAACAAAACAATGCCTTAAAGTCGGGGAATAATTTTGTAACTTTTAATAGTTAGAGGACTCGTCAAAGTAGAAAGTAGCGCTAACAAGCGCCATAATTGTCAAATAAATAAACCCTTTTTCTCAATAAAATAAGTTAAGAATGTAGTATAGAGAAGACAGGGTTGATACACAGAGACTGAGAAATTTCCAATGTCGGTTTGAAATGATCTTGATCCAAGAAAACTGTAAAAGGAAAATAAAGGGGTTTAGAAAAATAAATTGAAACAAATAAAAATAAGAAAATAAGAAAAATAAATGATTGAAAATAATTATGATGAGAGGTAGCCTCTAGCTTTGCTTAGCCTCAATTTATTTTGATCACTGAAATAGATTTTACTTCGGGATTCTTACCGATTATATTCTACAAGGCCCAACCCTTGTAACATGTTCTTTTCTCCTGTGAAGTAATTTCCAAAGTCAATTGTAACACCCCAACTCGTACCCGACCCGGATATGAGTCCAAGATATCACATTGACTTTTTAAAACAACGTTCTTACAAAATCACAACACATTTGAACTTATATTAATAAAATACGAGTATATATTGATGAATTATGTTTGTTGTAACAAATTTTTTTTAAAAAAATACTTTTTCATGAACAGTATTATATGTATGAACAGTACCGTGAACATTGTACCGATGCGCTGCTACAGTACCGTGAACAGTGTACTGATGCACCAAAATTTCGAACTTAAAATGTGTATCGGTGCACTGCTACAATACTTTCTGAAAAATACTTAAACTCATAAAAACTTAATCTTTCATCACTATAAATTTACCATTTTGTTTCCAAATTAGTTCAATAAAATAAATTGAACATTATTAATTACATGCCACTATCTAAGTCAAAATTTCATCATAGGATATCTTACTGATATTGAAATATACTTCTCGATGTTTGATGTCACCTTGAACTCTTTATTCCACTACTGGCTTTTTACCTACGCGTGGAAATCATCACACGCTAAGTATATACTTAGTGAGGCAATTAAAACAGTAAACAATGCAATACAATTCACGTATTTCAATGTCAAAATCAAAATACTATAAAATTTCTTATCAATATACATACCATTTAATCCATAAGCTCGTAAGCTTATTTTACCAATATACTTACCATTAAATCCCTAAGCTCGTAAGTTTATTTTACCAATATACTTACTATAATTTCATAAGCTCGTAAGCTTATTTTACCATTATACTTACTATAATTTTACAAGCTCGTAAGCTTGTTTTACCAATATACTTACTATAATTTCATAAGCTCGTAAGCTTATTTTACCAATATACTTACTATAGTTTGCATCACTGATGTCATTAACCTCATTTATTAATCGTTATTGGAATCCATACATTCCATGGGAAATTTATACAAATCGTATAATTTCCTTATAATATTAGCACTCTCAGTGCTCTATCTGGAATATCATATACTTAATATGATTTCCACACGAAGTGCCCTATTCGAGAATCCATACCATTAGTATGATTCTTTTACCATTTTTAGCACATGAAGTGCCCTATTCAAGAACCCATACCATTAGTATGATCCCTTTACCATTTTTAGCACATGAAGTGCCATATATGAAAATTCATATTGTTAGTATGATTTCCTTATCCTTGTAGCACCCTTAGTGCTTTTTCTAGAAATCCATACACTCTGTATGATTCCCTTACCATTTTAGCACATATAATGCCCTATATGGAAATCCATATATTCAATATGATTTCCTTATCATTTTAGCACACTCAGTGCTCCATATGGAAATTCATACACTCAGTATGATTTCCTTATCATTTTAGCACATATAGTGCTCCATATGGAAATTCATACATTCAATATGATTTCCTTATCATTTTATCACATATAGTGCCATTTGGTAATCACTATACATACATTAATAAATCATGTTATTTTAACTATTACCACATGTACGTGCATAATTAGATGCACTCACCTGGTTTTCCTTGCTTATATATCCTGACTAGCAAAATGATTACTCTGAGACTTGGCCCTTGCCTTTCGCCTTACTCGACTCGGGAGCTTGATTTCGATCTATCTCCCATTCATTGAGTACATATATATTACCAATTATTATTGTATTTACTAACCGTTATCACTTAAACATTAATAAAAATATTTATTATTAATCTTTCTACAACATTTCCGTCCCAAATTAACAATTCTGGCCCCTATACATCGATGCACTCAATAGTGTATCGATGCACTGCCTATGAATCAATGTACTTATTGCATTCAATGTTTTTCAATTAAAGGGTGTATCGATGCACCACCTGTGTATCGATGCACTTTGCCCAGAAATCTCATTTTAAGCACGAAATTTCACTCATTTCAACTTCAATACTCCATGTTTCTTCCCCTTTCATGTTCTTAAGTCACATACACATGCTTAAACTTATTAATACTCATTTATCCCATCTTTAACTTCAAATTCCACTTCTCTACATAGAACTCAATATTCATAATCAAATTTTAACATATTTTAATCATCATACATGCTTGAATATGCATATACTACCTCACAAACGTCAAGATGCATCATCAATTCCATGATACCTTATATGAACACAAATTATATAATTTGGGGTCTTTGAACACTAGCAAGATTATCAAGCAATATTGGTACCAAATGATAGTGTTTTTCGCATACAACAATTTTCTATTTACATCATACTCAAAATCCTAAGGAAATTACTTGAAAATTGAGTTGAAGCTTTCTCTCACCTTTGAAGAAAACCCACGCAGCTTTGAAGAAGAAGAGAGCAAATTTGGATGAAATGTTAGGTGTATTTCATCTTTGTTTAAACTATATTCCACTATAAATGAATATAATATTCATTTAATTGGGATAATACCAAATCACCCTTAATGAATATTCTTATTCACCATAAAACCATGACAACTCATCCTTATTATATTCCAAAGTCAAAGATGAATTAATTTTACTTTGATTTCTGAAATTCCCCATAAATTTTCAAAACTTGCATTTTAGTCACTAAATTCCACTATTTCGATTAAATATGAAAAATTGCACATTTCCAAACCAAATTTCTCTGATCTAAAATATTAAAATAATATTTCCAACCATTTTATAATATCCTTCAAATTTTTGTAAAATTCCAATTCGATCTGAATTTCCAATTCCTTATCGGCTTTAACCCTTTCTAATTATTCTTTACTAAAATTCCAAATCCAAAAATATGATTTCTATAAAACCCCACTCTCAATAATAAACTATGTATTTATGGAATAGAATCCTTTTTAGGAAATTTAACCATCAAACTTTTTCCCAATTTTCTACTTTGACCATCAAACTTTCAAAATTTGCATTTTGTTCATTATTTAAATTTTTGGGGTATTACATCAATCCTTAGAATTTAATCCTTGTTTGGGTTAAAAACAACTATCGATGTTAACACCAATTTAAGTGCTAGAAAAGTATATGCTCAGATTATGGTGTCTCAATGAGAATCGAACCTGATCTTGATTTACCTTAGCGGACCGCCGCTAAGTTTGTTCTTAGGAAGTTGAATTTACTACAAGCTGATTATTCTCTCCAACGGTAAATCAAAACAACATTCAAGCCAATGTGCACTCTTTGAATTGAAAGTGTTGAGATATTTAAAAGAAAGATCGATTGTCAACCCTAGTTTGTAGAAAATCAAGAAAGATACATGAAGGTATGAAGCACTTTTCAATTATCACGAAACGGATTGAGTTGTTGCTCAGCTTTCGGCTAATTGGAGTTTAGCCAAGTTTGAATTGGATCAAGCTTAGCATTGTGAAAAGAAAAAGATGAAAGAAAAATAGAACTTCAATAAATAGACAAGGAAATATAAATTACAATATGAGTTCAAAGGTTGAATCTAAGGGGTATTTATAACCTAAAAGTTCTAAGTAAATAAAATGCCTAATTCCCAATCAAACTAAAAATTCTACCCATAGTTCTAATAAAATAACTAATTCCTAAATAAAATAATAATAAAATAATCAAACTAAAAATCCTAAATCTAAAAGGTTTATCACAAAAGATAAAAAAAAATTTAAGTCTTGTACTTGGGGTTAAT